ACAATGTGTGATTTGGGTATATTAAAAAAAATTAATTTTAGTAATTGGGCAAGTCCAATAGTAGTTGTGCCAAAAAAAGACAGTTCTCATATTAGAATTTGTGTTGATTTCAAAAAAACTGTGAATCCAGCTCTTGATACAGATCATTGTGTTTTGCCACTTCCCGAAGATATATATGCTTGCTTAAGTGGAAATCGATATTTCTCAGTCATTGATTTGAAAGGGGCATACCAACAGCTTGAAGTAGGTGACAAGTCCAAAGAACTGTTAGTTATTAATACACACTTGGGACTTTTTGCCTATAATAGGTTAACTTTTGGTATTAGTTCAGCCCCTGGAATTTTCCAAACTGTTATGGATAATATTCTGGTGGGGTTGGAAAATACAAAATGTTACTTGGATGATATTTTATGTTATGGAAAAACATTAGAGGAATGTTATCAAAATGTGATTGAAGTCCTTAAAAGACTTGAGCAATATAATGTCAAAGTCAATCATAAAAAATGTAAATTCTTTAAAGATAGAGTCGAATTCTTAGGTCATTATATTGATTCGTCAGGTATCCATCCTACTGAGGAAAAAATTCAAGCAATAAAGTCTGCTCCGTCCCCAACAAACCTTACTGAATTGAAATCTTATCTTGGGTTATTAAATTATTACATCAAGTTTATTCCAATGTTGTCATCAAAATTAAAGCCATTGTATAATATTTGCAAACCTGATGTAGATTTTTCTAACGAATGGACTGATGAATGTGAAGACATCTTTAGACTCAGTAAGGACTTGTTGACCTCAGATAGTCTGTTGACACACTATGACCCAACTTTACCTATTTATGTGACATGTGATTCTAGTGGCTATGGTGTGGGAGCTGTATTGAGTCATATTATTGATGGTATTGAAAAACCTGTACTATTTGCCTCTAGCACCCTCTCTCCAACTGAACAAAAATATAGTAATTTAGAACGGGAGGCTTTAGCTTTAATATTTGCAGTCAAAAAGTTTCATAAATATCTCTATGGGCGTAAATTTACCCTTATTTCAGATCATCAACCACTTCAATTTATTTTTGCAAAAAATAAAAATATCCCAACAACTGCTGCTACTAGAATTACTCGATGGGCGTTAGCTTTGTCAGGTTACAGATATGATATTATTTACAAAAAAGGAAACTCTATTGCCAATGCAGACGGGTTGTCACGGTTACCTTTAAAACAACAAACTGAAGTAGATGACTATATTTTTTCGTTTAGCTTAATTAAGGAAATACCATTGAATGCAGATGATATTAAAAAAGCTACTAATAAAGATTCATTACTTCTGAAAGTCAAGGACCTTATTTTGTCAGGTTGGCCTATTAGTGTTGAGGATGATAACTTAAAAACTTTTTTTAAACGCCGGAATGAATTATCAGTTGAACAGAATTGTATTATGTTAGGGAATAGGGTTGTAATTCCTCAGTCGTTAAGACTTGAAATTTTAAAAGTTTTTCATGAGCAACATTCTGGTATTGTACGAACCAAATTACTAATTAGGTCATATTGTTGGTGGCCAAATCTAAATGATGATATAGAAAAATTTATTGCATCATGTGATATCTGCCAGGAAAATCAAAATTTCACTAGAAGTAATGATCATATGTCTTGGCCAGAATCACCTCATAATTTTTATGATTATTTATTGATTTCCTAAAGTTGTTTAACCATACATTTTTGCTCATGTATGACCAAAAATCGAAATGGTTAGATGTCAAATTAATGGATAACAGTACCATTGCGTCAGAAACCATTTCAAAGTTAAAGGAAACCTTTTCAATTTTTGGTCTTCCAGTAGAACTAGTTTCAGATGGAGATCCACCCTTTAATTCAGTAGAATTTGTTTCGTTTTGTCAGTCAAATGGTATAACTCCAATAAAATCACCTCCAGGTCATCCACCCAGCAATGGCTTTGCTGAAAGAGCTGTACAGATAGTAAAGAAAGATTTAAAAAAGGCTTTATTTTCAGTAAAAGGGGAAGAGATAACTAAACAACAAATTTTGCTTAAATTATCAAGTTTTCTTTTTGCTTATAGAAACACCCCTTCTACATCAACAAATATGACACCATCTGAAAGTATTCCAAAGTTAAAATCAAGAACCAGATTTGACTTAATCAAACCCTCTGGCCACAGCAAATATGCTAAAGGTGGTTCACAAAATGCAGTCAGAGCTAGAAAATTATTTAAATTGAATGAACCAGTTTATGTAAAAAATAAGCATACCAAGCTTTGGCAAAGGGGTAAGGTTATGAAAATATTAAGTTATTGTACTTATTTAGTACAAGTTGGATCTCTTATCAAATTTGTTCATGCAGACTCTTTAAGAAGTGATATGGGTGATCCAACTTATTCACATACCAATATAGTACCTAATATAAGTAATAATCTTGCCAATTATAGTGGTCCAGAACAAGAAATGTGTAGCAATATTCCCAGTGTTCCTCAAAACGTAACAGCTGATTCCCCAAGAAGTGAGTTAAAACCAATATCAGTGCCACCAAGTGTTATATGTGAATCTAACAACACACCCATAATTGCTTCTCCAAAAGTGACTTTAAAAAATAATGATACTCCAAAAATGTCTAGGTTTGGCAGAGTTATAAAACCAACTCGCAGGCTAGATCTTTAATAAAAAACAAGGGGAGAAATGTTGTGAATGTTGTCTGCGGCAACTAAAAAAAGAAGAATGATGATATGCATGTCAATGTCATGTTCATGTTCATAACCATGTAACTTTATGAATAAAGTTATCTTAATTATACCAATGTCTTTTAATTAAAATACATAACAGTTTGTAATTGTAAGTTTCTGAGGAATCACCTATTTTATAGATTGATAGTACTTTTAATTATTGTAGTACTTCTAGAAATACACCAGATGATAGAATTAAATTAATAAGATGACTGAAAGGTGTTAAAACTATTAATGTAAGTTCCTTTTAAAACCTTGCTCTTAATTTATAATACAATTTTGTGGTAGTGTTAAGAGTTGGAAACAAAAGATTTCAGTGTTTTATTGTTATATTACTTTATTAAAGTTGAGGCAATATTTATACTTAATTGTTTATAATTTATTTTATGAATTGACTATAAAATTAAATTGATCAAATTGGAAACTGAGTTTAGAAAAAGATAGAAATTAAAATGTGATAACAGCAGAAAGTAAGCGAATAAAGAAATTTTTAATGGTTGAATAATTTTATGTGAAACAAAAAAAAAGAAATTTTTCTCATAGACCACTGGTAGGAGTTTAGATGTCCTGTATGTAATTATAACTAATAATGTGTGAATAAGGTAATGATAGTAGTGAATGAAGTGAAAATAAATTATTGAATTGGGAATTTGATGGTCAAAAGTAGTGTTGGTTGTCTATGTATAAGGAGAAGTAGAGTTGTAATAAATTGTTATAAAATAAGGATTATTTGAATTTAATAGAAAAATTGTTGATGCTAAGACAGTAAATAATTGCAAGGATCATAAGAGAAGCTGCGGTAGAGATAAAAAAAGAAAAAAATATATCCAATGTCATAAGTTGCTAATGTAAATTGTGAAAGTGATACCTCACTCATCTTAACGAACTTTGGTTAGTGTGGTTTAAGACTCTGACCTAGACCGACTATTTTTGTGTTTTTAGTAGCACTCAGTAATTTTTCCGATATTGTTTAAATTTTTGCTGGTTCTATTTTTACAAGTTAAGGTAACTTATTGTTTTCACAGCATGTTTTATTGACTGTTAGCTTTATTATTGTCTATACGTAGATTGGGATATTTGGGGTTGATGAGTAATTACAATTTATTTTTAATATGGCGTCCTGGGCAGGTTGTTACTATTTTCCAGGGACAAGTTGTTACTGTAACAACCTGCACCAACTCAAGAGATTTGTGTGTAAGTTTATTAGTAACCTAGGTTTTGTTGTAAATGAAATTGTAACTTTTTTATACTTAGATCAAAATTAGAACCTACAAGAAAAAAACTAAGCATGGTGAAACGCCACAGGAAATCATTATTGCTGCAGCAAAGAATGCGATAGAAAATGAAAGACCTCTTAGACCAGTAGCGGATGAATACAGGATTAATTTTATGACGCTTCAGAAATACGTCAAAAAGATCCAAGAAATTTTTCTTGATAGTGTGTGTACTAAAGTCGTAATTTTTTTATGAACACATGAAGGTATAGCACGTGCCTTGTTAAAATTTGTTTTTTTTTTCAGGTGCTAATTTCATTCACACAGGATATTAAAAAAATTCGAAGATCTCTGATCTACGAGAAAATGAATTAACTTCTTATGTTAAAGATATATCATGGTCAAAGATTAATCATGGTCTTTCCTCAAAATATCTTAAACAGCTTGCTTTTCGGTTTGCTTTAAAAAAAATGACGTTCCTCATAATGGAACCAAATTTCAGACTGCATCTGCTGACTGGCTAACAATTTTTTTAAAACGCCACAATGAGTTAACCATCCGTACCCCTCAGGCTACGAGCTTAGGGCGAGCCACAAGCTTTAATAGGCACAATGTAAATTTATGCTTTGACAAATTCTCCAGTGTATTAAATAGGTTCAATCTTGGAGCAAACGATATGTACAACTTAGACGAAATCGGAGTAACTACAGTTCAAAAACCTGCAAAAATAATAGTATCAAAAAGTGTGAAGCAAGTTGGGGGCGGTCACTTCGAGGAAACTCTATGCCGCCAATTTTTCCGCGGAAAAATTCTCGAGAACATTTTCTTTCCAGTGGACTTCTTAGTTTATGTGAAATATTTTCATAAGAATATTAAATGGTCTAATAAAAGTCCAGTATTATTAATACTGGACAATTGCAATTCCCTTGATATACTTGATAAATTGTTTTATAATTGAGGACATGAATTACGATATTGCCATTTGAGTGGATGAATTGGATAAGTATGGAACAAACATAAATTTTTCAAACAAATAGATAAAATTTGGTGAGGACATAATGGAAGAAAGTTTCGAGAAGGAAGAAGAAGAAGACTCAGGAAATGAAGTAGATCTTTTGAAAACACACATTGAATCTAAGGAGATAAGAAGTGTGGCATCGCAAACGATGGAAACAGATGAAAGAAAAGAGGGGAAGAAGAGGAGGAGAAGAAATAGGAAGAACAAAAGTGTAACGCCATTACAGGTTGACAGCAATATTGAACAAGAAGAAAAAGAAGAAGTATTAGAAATATTAGAGGGGGTAATTGTAAATGTCAGTACATAATTACATTAAGAAAATAAGTAGAATCAAAACATATATATATATATATATATATATATATATATATATATATATATGACAGAAATCAGAAATATGTCATCAAAAAAGAAGAATAATTCTTCTTTTCTACCTTTAACATGAAGTTGCAGTTTTTGTAGGCTGTAATTTTTAGATTTTTGTTGTGTTTGTATTTGAAATAATACCCTGTGTGTTGTAATGTTTTTATTCAAAATTTTAAATGTATTTTTTAATATTTTTAACATGTTTCTGTCAGTGTTCTTCACCACTAGGACCAACTGAACATTTTCAATGTAGGTTTTAAATGTTGATTTCCACCACTTGTACGAAAATAGGTTTTCCATTTAGGTGCTGATGAAGGTGACAACATATCACCGAAAATTTCACATTTAGAATAAAGTTCTACACCAAACTGGCTTATACCATCTCTAGCTGATCCTTGTTTTGACGCTTTCCCGAAAGTTACCCTCCAAAGAATTATATATATATATATATATTATATATATATATATATATATATATTATATATATATATATATGCAACAAACAATACACAAAGATATAATACATAAGTTCACAATATACAAACGCATAATACAAAATACACAAAATCTAAATTTGATATTCTGATGGCACAAACACCACCCTCTCATTTGCTGTATGTATGGCTATTGCCTACAAGTAAATCAATCGTCAGTTTTGAAGAAAATAACCTGCTTATCCACTTGTTGTTTATACTTTCCACACAATTTTTAGAATAATCCTTTTTAAAAACCATTTCCGGAGTGAAAATCGAAACGTCAAACAGTAGTTAAAAATGTCATTACAGTGAATTGTCGCCTAATCCCATATAAACATAATATTTAACTTAGACATGCCACAAGAAAATAGTTTCAGAACCTTTATAAACAATTTTTTGTAGATTGATGGAGGTGTGTAAGTAAGACCACCTTCCTGATGCATACTGGGTAACGCTAAATTGAATAGCACATATTAGCGGTCAAATATAATTATAATAGGATCTCCTGACCACAATACACTAAACGTAACAAGTTATTTTCAAGACTATGAACAATAATATTATATTCTCAGTCGAAATTGGTCACATTAAAATACAAAACATACGCTACGATAAATTCCGGTATATATCAAAACAGAATCTCAAAAAAAGACGGGAAAATACCAAGTTACGGCATTTGAGTAAACCAGTAAATGTTTCATGTTCTGTATTGCTTCCCAGTCACATTTGCCGTAATTTCTATTCAGCAAGCCCTATTTGATAAGGTTTGCCTCGCTCGGTGCTACTCCAGTTCTTAAGCGGTTGAAATCAGTCGCTTGAAATCTCGCTTTGAGTTTCTGTTTTGGTTTGGTGGTCGAAGGTTTGTTTGGATCTTTCAGTGAATTCGAAATACATGATGGGGACGCCAAAGAAAACGAGAATGGAACCAACACATTAACAAAATGGGAAGAGAGAGACTTGCCCGAATAGTAAGAGATGGAAAACCAGAAGGTAAAAGAGTACAAGGCAGACCCTCTAAAAGATGGAGAGATAGCTGGCAGTGAATATCGCAAATAGTGCTAAATTATACCAGAAACAACAGACAACTACAAGAAGAAGAAGTCTTTCTACGGAATTCAAGATCCGAGAGGCTTGAAGCTATATAGAGTTTATCCAGAGGGGTTGGTCTCATGCAGTCGGTATTGACTCTGCACCTTTAGTTCACGCTAGCGTTTACTTCCTTGGGGTGAAAATAACACTGCAATATATTTTTAAAAATTAATTTAGATGTTTTGTTGTAGTGGTCACCGTCTATTACAATTATTTTCACAACATTATTGTGAAGGAGCATATTATGAAAACTTGTTTTTCCCGTGGTTACCAATTTATGGAATCATACGTAGTATTCCTAGTAAATATACTAAAGTCTAGCAAACAAAAAATGAAATTAGTTATCCAAAATTATGCGTCGTAAGTGGCATAAGTGGTCAATAATGAATTCTCGAAATTTTTGAAGTAGATCATTGGAGGAGGGTAAGAAAATATGTTTCCTTGCTGGTCAACAGTTGAATATTATATTCCTGTTTATAACAATAAAAGTAATACATAAGTTCTAGTTTATAAAATAAGTTTTCATGAAGCATACTGCTACACATGCAATCCTCCCTGCAATGGATCCTACGCATTCGACAGTAAACAGAACGTCAAAATAACCAAGTTAGTCGACTTAATAGAGGAATTACTGAATGTCCTAAAATTCTGTCGAAATGTGTTTACACAGCAAAATAAAGACATAGCAGCTGAATCAACAGCTCAATTAGCAGCTAAATCAATGATTAGCAAAAAAGAACTCAAACAAAAGAAGTGAAGAGATAAGGAGCGTAATATATTGACAGAACAGCACGAAAAACTAGGAATATGGACAGAACATGTTAAGGAAAAACTGGTGGGAGAAAACCGTAAAATTGGAATACACAATGTACACATAACTTCAAAAAAACTAAATATATACGGACAGGTTTCTTGGTAAAAGTCACAGAGACAGCTAAACGATACGATATACGTAAGTGATCACGCGCATGACTCATTTCATTTTTAGTTGCTGCATATAATATAGCGAAAACAAATGATAGGCAATACTTAAAACTAAAAAGCAAACATGTTTGCTTGGAGTATATTTTATTTAATAATTTGCAAGTTCTTATAATTGGGAAATGTACAATAATATTAGTCCTGTAGCATAAAGTAAAGAAGAATGGCGTGATTCAAGCCTGGGTATCACAAAAGAAATTTTACATAATAGATTAGTGCAATCCACCGTATTGTGTAGAATCTTATACAAAAAAGATATATCGTTGCAGTAGCGTTTAAATCTCAGATAATTATATAAAAATATATCTATAAAGGTTTTATGGTCAAATCTTCTTCTAGAAAAAACACCGAAGGATTTGAAGTACATATTTAATCAGTTGCGTTAAATCGATTTTACCAGCCAATTGCATTTTGACAAATAAATGACCAAAGTACGATGACATATTTTAATTATCTTTGAATAAAAGTATTATGTAGAATAATAAGTGCATTAATATCTTTTATACGTGAAAAAGTAAACCGGTCTATCTATTTATCTATAGCCCAAAATCTATTCATGTGTTGAATATAGGCCTCTCCCATTTGTCTCCATTTGTCTCTGTCTTCTGTTTGTCTTTTCCACATTGGACCTGCGCTTTGCTCAATGTCATCTTTCCATCTCATTTGCGGTCGACCTCTTGACCTTTTTGCAGTATATGGTCTCCAGCGGTCAATTTCTTTATTCCATCTTCCATCCTGATATCTTTCGTTACGCCCAGCCCATTTCCATTTTAATTTCAATGCATGTTAGACAGCGTCTGTTGTTTCGGTTTTGCTTCTTATCCACTCGTTCCTCTTTTTATCTCTCAACGATATTCCCAACATTTGTCTTTCCATAGCTTTTTGAGTTTTCTTAATTTTATTTTTTATCAATTTCTTTATTCTATCTAAGTGGCTCTTGGTAAACGTCCACGTCTGGGCACCATATGTCAGAATAGGTAGGACGCATGCATTAAATACCTTCGTTCTTAATTTTAAAGGTATTTTTTTTGATAGTATATGAGAGTTTTCCGAATGCAGCCCACCCCATTCTTATTCTTCTGGTTATTTCTTTAGTCCGGTTACTTTTGTCTGCTCTGATAACTTGTCCTAAGTAAATATATTCTTGGACGTGTTCTATGTCTGTTCCATCTATGGTAATTACTTATCTGTCTTCTGTACTAGTCATTATTTTAGTTTTTTTCAGATTTATTTTTAGTCCTTTCTCAAGAGATGTTTTTTCTAGGTCTGAAATCATAATTCGTAGTTGTTGCGTAGTTGTTGCTATCAGAAGTACATCATCGGCGAATCTTAAGATGATTTAAATATTTCCGGTTTATACAAATCCCTTTATTGTCCCAGTCTATAGATTTAAAAATGTCTTCCAACACCAGAGTAAATAGCTTGCGTGAGATTGATAATATATATATATATATATATATATATATATATATATATATATATATATATATATATATATGTATATATATATGTATATATATATGTATATATATATATATATATATATATATATATATATATATTGTGGATTAACATTCGGCAATTAACTAGCGCTTCTTCTACTGTCCATAGTTCTATGCTGTCAAACGCTTTTTCATTTTTTTATATTCAACAAACGCTAGGTATATTGGAAGGTTGTATTCGTTGATTTTTTTTATCAATATTTTAAGAGTGTGAAGGTGGTCGGTTGTGCTGTATAACCCGACAAGCGAGAGCTGGCGCTTTGCTCGTAGAACAAATTGAAAAGTAAAAGGTATTGCTCATTTCTATTGCAGTCGGCTAGGAGTTCACATCGTGTATAACCGTTTAAGTACCTATACTATATACCTATAATCGCGATTAAGTACCTCTCCTATCTCTCTTAGAATAATTCCTTTTCTATTTTCCCGCAGCTCACCCGCCAGCTCTCGCTTGTCGGATTATACCCCTTTTTAAATCCTGCCTGCTCAACTGGTTGGTATGCATCAAATTTGTTGTTTAGTCTAGTTGTGATCACCTTAGTGAAAGTTTTATAGATTTGTGACAAGAGAGATATTGGTCTATAGTTAGCTAATTTTGATCTATTTCCTTTCTTATATATCAGAATTGTGTTTGCCTTGTTCCACTATTGCGGTATTTGTCCTTCAAACAAATATTTATTGAAAAGTATCTTTAGATAGTCTTTAATCTTTTCCCCTCCTTCTTTTAACATTTCAATTAGAATTTCATCGTCTCCCGGAGCCTTATTTCTTTTCACATCTCTAATTGCTTTTTCTATTTCTTCTCCGGTTATGGGGGGTAATATTTTAAAGTTTACATTCATTATTTTCTTTTTCAGGTTTTGTTGAGTTGT